CTGTCAAATAAATAAAAATCTTTTTAAAAAAATTTTTAATAAATAAATAAAGCCTTTTTTTTTTTTTTTAAAGATTTTATTTATTTATTTGAGAGAATGCGCAAGCTGGGGAAAGCAGAGGGAGAGATCCTCAGGCAGACTCCCCACTGAGCACGGAGTCAGACTCAGGGCTCAATCCCAGGATTGAGATCATGAGCTGAAATCAAGTCGAACGCTTAACCGACTGAGTTACGCAGGCATCCCCTTTCTAAAAGCTTTTTAAGAGGAAAATTAAAAATCACAGTCAGATACAGAACTTAAAAACTATTCACAGATATGTAAACATTCCAAAAATGTCATTAAGGAAATTATATCACTTGACACTTAGCAATCTTGCATTCTAAATGTATGTATTACATAAAGAGCTATGCTTAACTGGTTTTGTTTTTTGGTAAGTACATACCAAAACCAGAAAACTGGTTTTTACCAAGTTGTGAGACTACCTTGTACTCAAACAAAATTACATATTTCAAACATACATAAAATATACCTGAGAAAAAGTTAACCACATCTTCTATAGTGCATGACCACGGCAATCCTTGAGCTCGAATGAGATAAACATCATCCACTTCTTCTCCTAGCTTGGATGAAGCCAATTCATACTCAGGGAGAGGTGGAAGGTTTTCCAGGTAGGTAGTTTTGGACTCCTTCCAAGAGAAATGAAGAAATGTAAAAATACTTCTTTGACAACCTTACTTAGAAAATGTTTATTTCTGCAAACCAATGATCTGGATGTTATTCTTAGGAGACAGTTACTATTTCAGAGGCAAGAAATAAACTTCACAAATCTAACTCATCCTTTTTTGGCTTAAATTGTACATTTGAAAGCAACAAGCAGGCATATTCCAATGATTAGGCAGGACATAAATTTTATTCAGGGCTTGTTTTTAAATTCATCGGTCCCAAATTACACCTAATAATAATGTTTTAGTTAAGGCAAGACAAGAGGGTCCCTTCAATTGGACAAATATGAGTGCCTCCTACTCATTGTGTGCCTTATTAGGCTCTCATCTCAAAGAGCTTACCATCTTAGACTAAGACAAGCACTACAAGACAGGATGCTTTATGTGCTACAATTAAGACACAAGGTTATTATAGAAATTCAAAACAGAACACTAACAGAAGAATCAAGACATAATATAAGAGGGGCTTCAAAGGAAGCATAGAATTTTGACAGCAATACACAAAAGATTGGGCATTCCAGTTTGAGAGGTGAGGGGAAGAAGAAGTATGAAAAAAAGCCCATTTGCAAAACAGCAATAATCCCATTTGGCTAAACTGCAGGGTACAATTAGGAGCCAAAGAAGATGAGCTGGCAAAAGGAACTCGGTACCATACAACAGAGGAACTTGAGTGTCAAGCTCAATGTGTGTCCCCTTCACCCAGCAGGCAAAAGAGAGTTAATAAAAGACACTTTGGAATGGGTAAGATAACAAGAGAGCAGGGTGCTTGGAAAGAGTAACCTGTCAACTGTAAGTCAGACCAACTGAGTAAGGTAAAGATTGTAAAAGGTGACAGAGCCTGAGACATACCAAAAGAACTCTATTTTACAAGACTAAGCAAAAACTGGAATTTAACAAGATTCCATTAAGCACTACAACCATAACCAGGAATGACAACTGAAGTTTTAAGACTTGCACTCTACTGGGCTAAAGAAAAAGATTCTTTTGTACCATGCCACCGTTTACGTTAAGACTTAAGTCTACCTAAAAGGAGTCAATGATAAATGTAAACCTCGGGCGCCTGTGTGGCTCAGTTGGTTAAGCGACTGCCTTGGGCTCAGATCATGATCCCGGGGTCCTGGGATCGAGTCCCACATCGGGCTCCCTGCTCAGCAGGGGGTCTGCTTCTCCCTCTCCCACTCCCCTTGCTTGTGTTCCCTCTCTCGCTGTGTCTCTCTGTCAAATAAATAAATAAAATCTTAAAAAAAAAAAAAGAAAGAAAGAAAGTACAGGCTAAGGTACTGATCACAAAAGCCAGGACATGACTTCACGTACCTTCCACATATCGTTGTCCCATGTACATGCGATGCTTTTCTAAGGCTTTTTGCACATCCTGCTCTGACTCCATTTCAATTAAGGCATCACCCCTTCGTTTCCCATCTCTGTTTAAGAGGAAGTGTATTCCATTCTCACCATTGCGGATTCTGCAGTCTGAAAGTATGGGAGTAAAATCAAAACCAGAAATCAAACTTTTAGCTCAATTATACAAGTCGCTAGAATGCAATCTTCCAATTCCAACAACAAAACAAAGCATGAACCAAAATGTCTATCATATTCTTTATAGAAACCCCCATCACTGAAGGCATCCAAATGCTAATGAGATGGTAGTCTATAAAATGTTCCACTTTCTTGAAAAAGAGAGCAAACCTTAGTACATAAGCTTATGATCTCCTGATCATTAAAAGAGCAAACAAGCTCAACATAAAATATATCATGTCCTTCCCAATGCTTCTACAATCAGTTTCAAATCCAAAGTTTAAAATATGCTTAAGTTTATACATAAGTGTCTTATTTTGTCATAATCATAACTACAGGAACTTTAAAATAAATCCTGTAAGAATAATTTTGTTACCTTAATTGAACTTTGCCCCCTCTTCGTTACCAAGATCCCCATACTGCATACGTATAATGGCAGCAGAGTTGAAGAGGTAAGTGGCTTCATAAAATACTTGACACACATAATGCTATGCACATCAAGGTACTCAATATATTATTACATCATTTTACAACATTTAAGATGGCATCCTCTAAAAAGCCTTTTTTGGGGGGGCACCTCGGTGGCTCAGTCGGTTAAGCGTCTGACTTCAGCTCAGGTCTTGATCTCGGGGTCCTGGGATTGAGCCCAGGGGCAGAGCTCTGTGCTCAGCAGGGAGTCTGCTTGTCCCTCTGCCCCTCCCCTGGCTACTGCTGGCTCACTCTGCTCTCTCTCAAATAAATGAATAAAATCTTTTTAAAAAATAAATAGGGCGCCTGGGTGGGTCAGTTGGCCTTCAGCTCAGGTCATGATACCAGGGTCCTAGAAGTGAGCCCCATATCGGGCTCCCTGCTCAGCAGGAAGCCTGCTTCTCCCTCT